ATTCAATGTTATTTGAACTAAATAAAAATAATTAAATGTTATTTGAACCAAAAATTTAAGTATTTGTACCGATTAAAAAAATTCAATGTTATTTGAACTAAATAAAAATAATTCAATGTTATTTGAACCAATAATTTCAGTATTTGAACCAAATAAAAATAATTAAATGTTATTTAAACCAAAAATTTAAGTATTTGTACCGATTAAAAAAATTCAATGTTATTTGAACTAAATAAAAATAATTCAATGTTATTTGAACCAATAATTTCAGTATTTGAACCAAATAAAAATAATTAAATGTTATTTGAACCAAAAATTTAAGTATTTGTACCGATTAAAAAAATTCAATGTTATTTGAACTAAATAAAAATAATTCAATGTTATTTGAACCAATAATTTCAGTATTTGAACCAAATAAAAATAATTAAATGTTATTTGAACCAAAAATTTAAGTATTTGAACCAATAAAAAAAATTAAATGTTATTTGAACCAAATAAAAATAATTAAATGTTATTTGAACCAAAAATTTAAGTATTTGAACCAATTAAAAAAATTAAATGTTATTTGAACCAAATAAAAAATAATTAAATGTTATTTGAACCAAAAATTTAAGTATTTGAACCAATTAAAAAAATTAAATGTTATTTGAACCAAATAAAAAATAATTAAATGTTATTTAAACCAATAATTTCAGTTTTTAAACCAAATACCATTAAATTGACTCAAAAATTATCTGATTCAAGTAAATTTTTATCTAAACTAATTAAATGTTATTTGAACCAATAATTTCAGTATTTGAACCAAATAAAAATAATTAAATGTTTTTTGAACCAATAATTTCAGTATTTGCACCAAATAAAGATAATTAAATGTTATTTGAACCAAAAATTTAAGTATTTGAACCAATTAAAAAAATTAAATGTTATTTGAACCAAATAAAAAATAATTAAATGTTATTTGAACCAATAATTTCAGTATTTGAACCAGTATTTATTAAATTTATTTTAATAAAGATAATTAAATGTTATTTGAACCAATAATTTCAGTTTTTAAACCAAATACCATTAAATTGACTCAAAAATTATCTGATTCAAGTAAATTTTTATTTAAACTAATTAAATGTTATTTGAACCAATAATTTCAGTATTTGGACCAAATACCATTTAATTGACTCAAAAATTATTTGATTCAAGTTAATTTTTTTTCTCAGTGTATAATTATAAATATTAATTGTAACAGACAATTTTTTTTTTTTTTATTTTCGAAAAGTAAAAATGAAAAGTGACCGGAAAAATAGTGAAATTGTTAAATGAAATATGGAATAAAATTGAGAAAAAAAAATCTCACACAATGAAATTTTTTTGGACAAGAATTGAGAATCCCTGCTTTGCGTATCACTTTGACATATAGCACAACGGTCACTTTTTCGAGTTGAACTATTTGAAGGTTTTATTTTAGTTGAATGAGAAAAGAGGGAGTGAAAAGAAACTACCGGCGATGCGTGTACGTCACTATTAGCGCGTGTTTGTCGCAGAGGCAAACGATGATAACTCGCGCGTGCCAGAAACTCGAAGCATGTGCAAGGTCGCAAAACACAAGGGCGCGAAATTTGTTTTTCTAAAAATTTTCACGAAATATTTGCATTTTGTTAAAATTACATGTTTATTTACATATATATATAAATTTTGAAAAGTGTGTGTGTTGTGTGTAGATGTAGTCGCCTAAGCCTCATGTAAATATACATACGTTATATTCGTCATAGATTTTTTGCATGTCAAGGTGTAGGACGTTCGTTGCATTGCCGCGACGGCGCATTCTCAAAAAAATTATTATTTCGACGTCGGCCTCGCACAAAATCACAAAATTTTCAACGACAGCCTCCCAAAAGTCGTTGTTTCGTTACTTTTCTCGAAAAATTTTTGATTATTTTTTATCATTAATAAACCAAATAAAATTTATTTAAACCAAATGAAAGTTATTTAAACAAAATAAAAGTTATTTAAACCAAATAAAAGTTATTTAAACCAAATAAAATTTTATTTAAACGATTTAAACCAAATAAAATTTATTTAAACCAAATAAAAATCTACTTGGTTCCGAGTCAAAATATCTTTTCTCTGGGTGCGTATAAATAAAAAAAATTTCAAAAAAAAAACAATTTATTTTTGGGATATTCTCTGTTATTTTAGTATTATTATAAAAACTCGGGGAAAATTATGTTTGAATTAAAAATTAAATTCACAATTTTAAACACATATTTAGTTTTATAAAACTTAGTTCATAAAAATTATATGTATTATATGTTTAAACAAAGTTTGTTTACATTGAATAACTACTTATTTGATTTAATTAAAACTTTGATGCAATTTCAACAAATTTTGCGTTCGAAAAAAGAATTTGATTATTTGTGGCAAATTTTTAGTTGAACCAAACAAATGTTTGATAGCAATGCCTTTATTTTTGAACCAAAATTTGGTTGTTTCAAATAAATTTTTCACTGACTGAAATAATAATTACTAATAATAACTAATTTTACCGATGCTAATGAATTAGTTAATAGTTAATTCCAGATAACTAATTTCCAAGCTAAATTTACTTTAAGGTTATGTGAAAAAGCTAATATAATTAGTTTAAACTTAAATTTCCAGTATAATTAATTAATTAATAAATTAATTCATTCAGTAAATCAAATTTGTCTATTTTTGTAATTTTTCAAAATATTTTTTTATTTCATTAACACTGTTAACTTCAAAGTATCAAAATTGCAATGAATTGATACCAAAAATGTGGATCAAACAAAAAATTGATCCAAATTTTTGGCATCAATTTGATCCACTTTAGTATCAATATATGATAATTTAAAGAAAACTGTGTTTGCAATTTTGCATTTGTATTTTTTTTTGTATCTTTTTTTATATTTTAATAAATTTTTTTTATTTTAATTTCTTGTTATGATTTTTAGAGATATTTTTATATTTTCTTTTAATTTTTCACTAATAAAATTCGAGAGGCTTTTGAGTATATATATATATATGAATGAAGTCGAAAGCGTGAGAGTTGAGTTGAATTATTTAATTTATAAATTTTAATCAAATGTACTTTTTAAAATAGAAGAAACGTTTATTGTTAATATTTAACGACTTTTTAAACTTTAGTTCGCTTTATTTATTGAAATGTACTACAATTTAAAATTTTATTTCATGAATCGAATGTTTTGTTTACTTCTTTAAATTGTAACAATTTCTTTACTGTTTAAACTGTAATTATTTACTTGTTTGCATTATAAAATAATTCTAAGAATTCGTTTTATATCGGTTTAAAAATTTTTGTTTTCAGTTTTTATCGTTTTTCACATTTTTATTTCTATTTTAAGATTTTTTTTTCATTTCTAAAAATTTTAGTAGATTACGTTTTATTTTGTTTTAATGGTTTTTTTTGTAGTTATTTTCATTTATATTTAGATTAAATAAAATTTTTGTTTCTTTTTCACTTCTCCTAGTTTCTAATTTTTGATTCTTGAATTATTCTCTCTAAATTTGAATTAGTAATAAAAATGTTTACTAAATTGAATTAGTGACTGACTTTTTGCTTTTGAATTCGTAAATTCAATTCATTTTACTGATAAGTAGTAATTTCTACTAATTTATTAGTCAATTTTACTAATTTATTAGTTAAATTTACTAATTAAAAAAAAAAATATTTTTAAATTTATTCAAAAGCAAAAAGTCAGTCACTAATTCAAATTAGTAAACATTTTTCCAAATTCAAATTTCGAGAGTTAGTTTCTTTATTATTCTATTTTAATCACCTGACACTTGGTCGAGAACAAATTTTCCTTATTTCGCAATTTTTTTTTTTTAACCACTTTTTTTTCCAATCATTTTTAATTTGAATATTTAATTGTTCGATTCTATAATTTTTTCTCCTTAAGCGCGACTATATATTTCGATTGTTTTCAAACATTCGCGCACTTCATACTTGAGAACTTATTCCTTAATTTTTTATTTTCCCAATGTTGGATTTTCTTTGATAGATTTTGAATTTTAATGTTGGAAATTATTTCCCCAAATTTCAGTGTTGATATTTTCTTCACTAATTTAAAAATTATTCTCTCCTTCTGGGTGGAAAAATATTCCCTCTGTATTAGATTAAAAATTCTATTCTCTCTAAATCTGAATTAGTAAAAATTACTAATTTGAATTAGTGACTGATTTTTTGTTTACTTTCTTTTTACTAACTTTTTGTTTAATAAATAAATAGTAATTTCTACTAATTTATTAGCAATTTCTACTAATCTATTAGTAATTTCTACTAATCTATTAGTAATTTCTACTAATTCAAAAGCAGTCACTAATTAAGTAGTAATTCAGTCACTAATTCAAATTAGTAAACTAATTTGAAATTTATTATTAATTTAAATTTAGAAGGCAGAATTTTTTTTTTTTTTTGATAAAGAAAAAAATAAATGCGGAAGTCAATTGCTCTTCACGACATGGGTAGGTGTCGAGTCGATTAGGTGCGTTAATTAACAGCCGCAACTCGAAACGTTCCCGATGACTTGTTTATGTTGAAAAAAGTTTCTTTTTTTGTAATTAAGATTTTCGAGATATTTACCAAATAGTTGTTTTTTAAAATTGTTTAAATGTTTTGCAAAAATCGATGGGGAGGGGGGGGGGGCGATTTTTTTCACAATCAGTGAGCAGGAACTACGAGTAAAAAATAATTTTCTTCATTAAACTCGAAATGGTGAAAATTTGAAATTAGGATTTATTTTTTTTTTTTCACGACTTGGCGATTTTTCACGATTTCGCGATATTTTTTCGGTAACTTTTATTTTATTATAATCTTCAAGTCGAACTTGAGGAGAACTCACAAAGCTCGATTAATATCGAGAATTAAAAATCACTTTGATTGGAAGCACGAGGAACATGTGACACGCACTGACACTGCTGGCAAAACGGAAAAAAAGACACTTTGCGTGTTGTCGAATGATATTTACCTTGCTACATGTAAAATGAATAAGAGAGCCTGCCGGAATCGAACGAAGGAAGGCTCAACCGGCCCACAGTGACGTCGCCGGCCTACTGTCAGCTCAGCGCTCGCTCGGTTCCGCAGTCAACTAACCTACCGTGGTGTGCACACACAATCAAACTTCTTGGTGATGAGCCTCTCTTCGAATCAATTCCCTCCTCCCACGCAACCCTCCCCAATAATTACTGGTAAATTCTTCATTTATCAAATTTTGAATTTACACACTGAAATCTAATTGATTTCGCATTTATTTAGAGGAATTTTGCCATTTATTGACAATCGCGATTATGATTCGCGTAGTAGTCAGGTGTAAAACATTCACGCGCGCGCAACGGGAAAACACACACCCGCAACTACTTGGACACAAACACACACTCACTCACTCACTCACTCGCATGCAGAAATTGTGTTCTTGCGAATCTCGATTCTCGCGCGATTCGTAGCGGATTGGACTGAAAAAAAAGAATCAGTCCGAAAGGGGGGAGGAGACGCATCACGCACTGCGTAAAACGCAGAGCACGAGAGATAATTATTTATCGTGCGATCCCGAGTACCACCTGACCTCGAGTCACGAATTCGAATTTAGCACCCAGAGAAGTTTTTTATTTTTTATTTTTATTATTATCCACTTTGTTTTTTTTTTTTACATTAAAAATTAACTTTTTTTTTTCTTTTTGCTTTTTCAAATTCTGCAAAAACATCTTCAAGATGCAATTTTTATAAAATGATATCTGTGATGAAACATTTTTTGCATTTTCGAAAATTCACATTTATTCGCAACTTTTGACCTAGTTTTCATCTACAAGAACTATTTAAACTTATTTCGCTTTGGAATTTCTTGAAAATTTCATTGGAATATTGCATTCGTACAGTGTAAAAAACAAAGTCTTAAAGTACTTATACAGCTGAAAAGGTGTTTTTTTCTTAAATACCACTCGTTTTTGTGCTTAAAATAAAAATAAGACCAATTTTAGGTCTTAAAATCAGTTTTATATTCGTAAATTCAGTCAATATTTTGACTAATGTTAAAAATGTCTTAAAATACAGCCAAAATGTGTTTTTTCTTAAATTCAACTCATATTTGGGCTTAAATAAATTTAAGAGAATTTTACGTCTTAAAATCAAGTTTTCTATTAAGAAATTTACTCAATATTTGGATTAATGTTAAAACAAACAAAGTCTTAAAGTACTTTACGACTCAAATACTTATTTTTTCTTGAATTCAACTCATTTTTAGACTTAATATAAAATTAAGAAAATTTAAGGTCTTAAAATAGGTTTTCTATCCAAAAATTCAGCCAATATTTGAACTAATGTAAAAACAAACTCTTAAAATACAACTCAAACTTGTTTTTTCATAAATCCAACTCATTTTTGTGCTTAAAATAAAATTAAGACAATTTCATGTCTTAAAATCAGTTTCCTATTCAGAAGTTTAGTCACTATTTGGACGAATGTAAAAACAAAGTCTTAAAATATAACTTTTAATATATAATTTGTATCATCCACATTCCTGGAATATTAAAACTTTCAACATTTGGAATATTTCTTTGGCACAATGTAAAAATATTACATATTAGAATGTTACAATTGAAATACTATAAAAATATTTGGAATGTTTCTTTGCGATTGATAATATCTTTTAAAAAATAATTGAAATTTTGATAAATTCTTCAAATAAGAATTGAAATTTGAGAAAATCTTTAAATATATTTAAAATTTAATAAAATCTTCTAGAAATAATTGACATTTGATAAAATAATTTTGAAAAATAATTGAAATTTAGTAAAATGTGCGAGAAATAATTAAAATTTGTTAAAATCTCAATTGAATTTTAGTAAAATCTTTGAAAAATAGTTGAATTTTGATAAAATCTTCGAGAAATAATTGAAATTTTATAAAATAATTTAAAAAATAATTGAAATTTTGTAAAATCTTCGAGAAATAATTAAAATTTGTTAAAATCTCAATTGAATTTTGGTAAAATCTTTGAAAAATAATTGAATTTTGATAAAATCTTTAAAAAATAATTGAAATTTGATAAAATAATTTAAAAAAATAATTAAAATTTGGTAAAATCTTTGAGAAATAATTAAAATTTGTTAAAATCTCAATTGAATTTTGGTAAAATCTTTGAAAAATAATTGAATTTTGATAAAATCTTTTAAAAAATAATTGAAATTTGATAAAATCTTTAAGAAATAATTGAAATTTTATAAAATCATTTAAATAAATAATTAAAATTTGGTAAAATCTTTGAGAAATAATTAAAATTTGTTAAAATCTTTTAAAAAATAATTGAATTTTAGTAAAATTTTCGAAAAATAATTAAAATTTGTTAAAATCTTTTAAAAAATAATTGAATTTTTGTAAAATCTTTGAAAAATAATTGAAATTTGTTAAAATATTTAAAAAATAATTGAAATTTGATTGAATTTTTGAAAAATAATTGAAATTTGGTAAAATCTTTGAAAAATTGCAATTGAATATTCTCAGAATATTTGAAAGGAATATTCCAGATCGGATATTTCAATTTTGCTGAAATATTCAAGGAATTTAAAAGGAATATATGATGGTGCGGTAAAACTTTAAAATTCAATCGATTAAAAGAATATACAATAGGAAAAATTTGAAAGTGAAATAAAATAAAAAGTTGTAAAAATGATAAAATTGGAATAAATTGGAAAAATACTAACTGTTAGAAAAAATATTGTCGGTAATTGGAAAAAAATGGAAGAATAATTGGGGCTTGTTGAGCTTCGGGGAGCTAAAAAGAAAGAAGAAAAAAGAAAAGAGAAAAAAAAAATATTTAGAAAATCTACTCAACCAGGTGGCGCGGAAGGCCGCTGATGCTTCAACTTGAGCTTAGATGCACGCAAACAGATATTTGCTCTTGAAGTGTGCTCATATGTATATGCATATATACGCACAAGTGTATAACTGCGTCGATATACCACGTCTATACATATTCTTAGGTAATGCAAATAGCGCCTGGTTCTAAACTGCGAGCGTGTCTCGTGGATAGGACACAAGAGCCTAATATCTATACATGTATATACACGTGCATACGTGTACGAGCATTTGCGACGTACTTATATGATTCTCTACCGTGTGTCTCGTTTATATCAAAATATATATTAAACTCGGCAAATTTTTTTTTTTTTTTTTTTTTTTTTTTTTTTATATTAATTCTCTTTCTCACTTTATTCTAATTTTTCATTTTTTAAATGTATACTTGTTGCCAAACTTCAATAATTTACACGAATATGTTGAACATTTTTTCTATAAAATTTAACTAGTGAATTTAATTTAAAAACGATAGTTTCTAAATTAGACTGCAACATAATGTAATATTACCTGAAATTAATACTGTGCCATTAATTTTAATATAAATATAAAATTATTTTCAAAAAATCTAAAAAAAAAGTTGTCAACATTTTAATTTCAATTTCAATAGCAAAATTATTCGACAAAAATCAATTATTTTTAGGAATTTTAGTCAAATTCATTGCAAAATTCAATTATTTTAAAAAGTCCCTATATTCATCACAAGAATTCAATTATTTTCAAAATTAATAAAATTTTTCTCAAAAATTCAAATATTTTCCAAAAATTTTTTAAAATAGTCAACATATCAATTTTAATAACAAAATACTTCGGCAAAATTCAATTATATTCAGAAATTTTTATAAAATTCCTTATGAAATTCAATTATTTTCCATAAATAACAATATTCATCACAAGAATTCAATTATTTTCGAAATTAATAAAGTTCTTCGCAAGAATTCAACTATTTATGAAAATTTTAATAATATTCGTTGCAAGAATTAACTTATTTTCAAAATTAATAAAATTCTTCGCAAAAACTCAATTATTTAAAAAAAACTAAAAAAAATTAACAACATTTGAACTATCTTTATAAATAAAAAGCAAAATTATTCGACAAAATTCAATTATTTTTAGGAATTTTAATAAAATTCATTGCAAAATTCAATTATTTTCATAAATCATAATATTCATCACAAGAATTCAATTATATTCAAAATTAATCAAATTTTTCTCAAAAATTAAAATATTTAAAAAAAATTTTTTTAATTCAATTATTTAAATCAATTTTGCCAAAGTTTTACAAGATTATTCAATTATTTTCTAGAATAATGAAAATTTCACAGAAATTCAATTATTAAAAATTGAAGTTGCATTTAAAAATTTTAATAAAATTGTTCGTATCAATTCAATTATTTTAAAAAATTTTGAGAAAATTATTTTCAATTATTTTCAATTATTTTCATAAAACAATAAAAATTTCACAAGAATTCAATTATTTACAATTTTTTAAATAAATTTCTCTGCAATAATTCGGTTATTATTATAAATAATATAAAATTTTTACAGGGATTCAATTATTTTCGTAAATAATAAACTTACTTTCTGATACTTTTTGATATTCCTATACTTAATATTCTACTATCCTTTTTTAATTATTATTATTATTATTATTATTATTATTATTATTATTATTATTATTATTATTATTATTATTTTTATTATTATTATTATTATTATTATTATTATTATTATTTTTATTTTTATTATATTTTATATTTATTATAATTGTTTAATGTACAAAGTTAAACGCTAAAATATCGCAATGTTGCCGATAAGAAAAAATATGTTAATATAAAAACGTGTTAATCTCATTGGAAAAAAAGAATAAAAATTTATATGACATTTATTAACTTACATCTTCTAAAGGATTGATTAACTGCAGACAACTGTGGACATAATTAGTCAATAACTTAACTTAATTCGTTGATAAACAAACAAGTATGTTCGTATAAACATTATCATCATTTAAAATTCGCGTAACTGTACGATTATTAAATTCAAGTTCAAGCCTTTCTTATGCAGTACGCACTCGTGTTTACGCTCACAGAGATGACAGTTATATACAAACAACAATTGCACATGTATTGTACATTAATGATATACGTTCACGAAGCTCGTAGATAAGAATGTATCGCTTAGTGTTAATATTTTTTTTTTTTTTATTTTTTCTTGTTGCGTCCACGTCAGATAGATGTGTCACGATTGATTTTCCATATGACTTTTTAGTTTTGTTTTCGAAAATTCATTTTTACTTTTGGAATTATTTTTCTAAAGACATTTTGCTATACCTATACTCAGAAAACAATTGGCCCATAATGCCAATGCTATTGAATTCAATTTTTAGAAGCAATCATTTCTGTAATGAATTTTGTATAAAAAAAATTTTTTTTAATTAAAAATTACGGACCATTTACAAACCGCAATTGAGGCCTTGGATCCAATAACTCGCCCGACGCTCGAAGGCATAAAAAATTCAAATTTTTAACGATTTTAATCTAAAACCTTTTCAAAATTCAATTATTTCTAAAAATTTACGCTCTAATGCTTTTAAAATTCAATTATAATCTAAAATTTTAACTGAAATCCATTTTTAAAACAATTTTTATTAGAAAATTCTACTAGAATTCAATTATTTAATTAAACAAAAATAATTTATTGAATAATTGAAAATGAAATTGAAAATAATGATTAAATTAAAGTAAAGAAACTAATATCAAAATCATTTTAAATAATTGTGTATTAAAAATAATTGAATTCTTGCAACAATTATTATATTAAAATTTTTAAAATAAATTGAATTTATGCGTTGAATTTTATTATTTATGTAAATTAATTGAATT